CAGAAGATTTCCTAGAAGAACATCAGAGGTGATCACCTGGATAGCTGAATTGGACATCTAATTATGAGGCCACTGCCCATTGAATTTTTGTATATAATTATATGAATTGTGTGTATATGTTTACATTTCTTTTGTCATGTTCTCATAAGTAATAGTACAAGAATCCAGATTAAAACATCTCCAACTGGTTGAGCCTCCACTTAAATAAATCCAAAGGGAAGCCAATAATCTTTAAGGAATTAGTTCCATTCAAACCTGCTCTTATTTTTAATGAGATTTCTTTATATTAACTCAGAATCCACTTTTCTGTAACATCAATAATCTGGGCCTAACTTTCTTCTAGGGGCTACTTCTTGAGTATGTTATCCAGGGGTGGGCTTCAAAAATGTTAGCAAGGGGTTCTCTGCCCGGTTGCTGGGTGGGCATGGCCATGGTGGGAGTGGTCTAGTCGGCCTCCTGCACCACGGCAGAGGAGTGGGCATTTTTGCCCTCCCCAGACTCTAGAGGGTTTCCTCGAGCCTCCGGGAGGGCAAAAACAGCCTCCTCAGGCTCTGGAGGCCCTCTGGTGTTTCTGGCCATCCCGAACATCCATTTTTCACTCTCCCCAAGCCTCTGTGTGCGCCCTGCACTTACCTGCATCCAAAATGGGCCATGTGGAGATTCCTGGGAGGGGCACGCCGGGGTGGGCAGGGCCAGCCAGGAATGGAATTTGGGGGTTCTCCGAACTGCATAGAATCTTAGCTAGAGGTTCTCCTGAACCCCTGCAAACCCCCAGCAGCCCAGCCTTGATTTTATCACCCCTTAATAATCTTTTCTTAGGGTTAAACAAACTTGAATCCTTCATTCTTCTCCATATTCCTTAGCTTCTAGTCCCCTTTATATCATCTTTATTGCCATTTTTTGAATTTGTTCCAATATCTCTAAAGTCTTCTTTAAGTGTTTGTCTGGAACTGGGCACAATACATAAAATGTGGTATGACCAATATATTTCTTAACATATACCAGAGGTAATGTGACATCTCCTATTATATTTTTGAACACCTTTGTACAAGGAGCTATTTAAAGCAGAAACCAAATAGATCATGTATCATTATAAGTTATGTTTTAACGATGGATTGTTAAACAAGTAATAACAACTGGGTTCACATATAACACTAAACTATAAATTAGGTTTTACAAGCTACAGGGGTGGGTTTACACATCATAATAATCAAGCAAACTACATTATGGTATAATTCAACATGTAAGCCTACTTATAGAGTAGTAGGGAAAACATATTTGCCAGCAAAAAATCTCTTGCTTTGAGATTCTTTACAAGTAAAGTTTAAACACATTTTGTTTGCCTGGAAATTAATATCTTTTATACCCACTAATTTTATCTCAAAAAGATTACACTAGGAGGAAGATTGAATAAAGCGATTCCAAGAAGTGTGTGAATTATGGTGGAGATGAATGGATGGAAAGGTAGATGTTTTATCTTCTTTGCCCTAATAGTAGAAATCAAAATGCTATTGTGTAACAGAAATATAAATACTCCAAGTTTCCTCTATCTTCTACTGTTCAGCAGCATTTATTATGTTATGATTCATAATTCATACTACGAAGGAAATTTATCCATGCCTACTACTTATTAGGATGACAAGAGGAAATAATTAAATCCTTCAGTTTCAGAGTTTGCAGGATGATGTATTTATTCCATTACTGCTTATTATGTTACACCAGCAAATTCATTAATATTGAATCTTCAGCCCAATTTATTATTTGAAAAAAAATATATATTTTCCATTAGGATCAATTTTGACAACATGATAAGCATATTTTTCTTCTAAATGTTGGATTTAAGGGAGTGGTTTTCAAGTTTTCTCCCTAAAAGGACTCTCCTAGTTCAGTGTTTTTTTTTTTAAGGGAAATGACCTGTCACTGAATCATAGTACTTTGCAGAAGACACTGGATGCATTGTAAACCAAATATTACATTCTTCAGATTTATGAGATGTATTTTTGTTTGTTTGTTTTAGCTTTCACAAAAACATGGAAGGCCATCAACCAGAGTTCACAAAGTGACAAAAATATCATCAGCAATCATTCATTGGGTATCATCTACTATGCAATATATCGACGTTGTGTTATCATTACAAAATACAAAAAAATGATATGGTATCACTTAATGTGTAGGTTAAGCAATTTAAATTATTTAGCCATGCCAATATACAGTAGGAGACAATGATGTCTCTATCTTGAAAATTCCAAATAACAGAAACATACAGTAACTTAACCAAAACATGAATATTTTAAGCCTATTATTTTTGACCTGAGAATTATTATCTTTTTTTTGATATAAAGAGGTAGAGCATGAGAAGGAAGGCAGAGTCTGGGAAAATTCAGCACTATTAATGGTTAGCTGAAGCTAAACTTGGGTATTACTGAAAGTCAACTCAAAAGACCTGCGCAGAGAACTGTGCTGATATTGATAAAAGTTATGGCTAAATCATTATGATCTTCTTAATCTCATGACTCAGCATAAATTGCCATGAATAAGGCACACAAAAGCATCTACATTCTTCCATGTGATTGTGCATGTGACTCTGGTGCACAACTTAACAGTCAAGATACTCTAGTTTGTACATGTTTTTTATTACATCATTCAGGCAAGTGCATTGACTTTCATTAAACTACAAGGTAAGAGAACAACAATAACAATCCTATATTTAAATCAGGCTTTAACTTAATAGAAATTTGGACATGGATCCAAACAACAGCTAGTTCAGATTTTATTTCTATTCGTTAGCAGCTCTAATTCAGCCTTGATAATGTTGCAATGATAAGCTAAGCTATCTAGGGAATCACATATATTTAATTTTAAAGTTTGAGCATATTTGTTGTGAAGATGGAAGAAAAAACCCACTCCCACCAGATCAAAGTGGGAGGCAGAACGCTAGGCAACCAATATACAGTGTTTGCCTTTCAAGAGATTACACAGCTCAGCTATAATAGAATTTATAAAGAAAAGGGATAAGCATATACCCACATACACATATTTCAACAGCAACATGACTTGTCAAAGTAATACTGATTTTAAACAAAAGAAAATTAAGTCAGTTAGCAATAATAATAAAATTAATAATAAAAATAAGTTTACTTTAAATGAAGTAACTACATAATTAAATGCTTATATACATATCATATTTTTCAGGGTATAAGATACACCTTTTTTCCCAAAAAAAGAGGGTGAAAATCTGGGTGCGTCTTATACTCCGAATGTAGCCTCGCCCAGCCTCGTAAATGGAGATTTCAGAGACTGAAAGAAGCCTCTGAAAGAAGCTTCAGAAAAAAAGCCTCAGAAACGAAGCTTCAGGAAAAAAAGCCTTTAAACAGAGCTTTAGAAAAAAGGCCTCTGAAAGGCTTTTATCTAAAATAATATGGCAAGCAACAAAAGAAGAATCAGTAAAGATTCTAACCGAACTATGCTAACAAACCTGGAGAATGACACAATAACCAATAGATCGGAAGAGGTTAATTTATATACCAATACCAAAGAAAGGAGATTGAACAGAGTACAGATAGTCCTTCAGAATAAAAGCCTCTGAAAGAAGCTTCAGAAAAAAAGCCTCCAAACAGAGCTTCAGAAAAAAAGCCTTTTTTTCTGAAGCTCTGTTTTGGAGGCTTTCAGAGGCAGAAAAAAAAGCAAGGCACAGAGTTCACAACCAAAAAACCTGTTGCTAAAATTCACCTCTGGGAACAGCTTATTGGGGGTATTCTGGGAGGCTGATCCACCCAGCAATCAGCTTTTTTCTTATTTTCTTCCTCAAAAACTAAGGTGCGTCTTATACTCCAGTGCATCTTATAGTCCGAAAAATACGGTAAAAATACATAAATATTTTAATATCATTGAAAACAACTTTATCAAATAAAAGTTTCCTTGAGAATTAAAAAATAAAACCATCACATGTAAATCCATATTTTTAAAAAGGCCTTGCTTATTCCTTTATTGCAGCCAGATTTTTTTTAAAATGTACCTGTAGACCTACAGGTGTTATATTTTCATTTTTAATGAAAATGAAAGTGAGGGTAAGATTGATATGTTTCTTTTTTACTGTTTCTGAAAGGAAAGACAAATACAGGTAATGACTATCAGATTAATAGGATGGCATGGGGAATCTGATAGATTTTGTACCAGTCACCCCCATATTTTACTACATGTAATTATTTACACTCTCCAAATCCAGTCCTTTGCCAGGGCTGCTACAATCGTCAGTCAGAACACTATTCCTTTACTTAAATGAGATTACAGTTAGTCCTCGATTTACAACAGTTCATTTGGTGACTGTTCAAACTTACAAAAAAGTGGCTTATGACCGTTTTTCACAATTATGACCTTTGCAACATCCTCATAATCAAGTGATCAAATTTCATATGCTTGGCAACTGGTTCATACTTATGACCATTGCTGTGTGTCAAGGTCATGTGATCAGCTTTTGTGATTTTCTGACAAGCAAAGTCAATGGGGAAGCCAGATTCACTTAACAACTAGGTAACTAATTTATCAATTGCAGTGATTTACTTAACAACTGTGACAAGAAAGGTCGTAAACTGGGGCAAAACTTACTTACCAAATGTCTCACTTAACAGCAGAAATTTTGGGCTCAATTGTGGTTGTAAGTCAAGGACTAACTGTATTTTAAAGTGCACTTAAAGTACAGTACAGTAATAGTCAGAACACTGGTGGGCTCTTAGATCCTTGGTCAGAAAATCCTCTCTGAAATAGTGTCAAAGCACAATTTTTTTCTGCTCTTTCCATCCATCCATGTGCTTGGTCCATATCTAGGAACATCTTCATAGATGTGTGTATCAAAATGATGTTCGTAATCACACAGTTAAAGCCCCACTCCGTATTAACATCTGGAGTTCACTTTGTATGTCTCCCTAGATTAATTAAATTTCCACCTTGCTGTAATCTCATCATTCGTCTTTCATCGTGGTTCCCTCTGCAGATCAGATTACCTGGTCAGAATTCTGCACAAGGTCCAAATAATGAAACTGAATGAAGAGAATACTCAAGCACCCATACAAGGTTCTAGAATCATCAAATTGCCTTGTATTCAGAATGATTTTACATCAAGCTGGTCAGTCTACTTGAAAAAATCTACCAGGAAGGCATTATTCATGCCCGCTGACCCCCTGTCTTGTGACTCCAGGGGGTCACACCAATGGTGGGATGCTCCCGGTTCTGTCCAGTTCTTTAGAACCGGTAGTAAAAGCAGCAGGAGGCTCCGCCCACCCACCCAGATGTCACAATTGACGATCTGTGCATGCGCAGAAGCACGCACATGCAAAGCAAGCAAAGTGCATACACTCCTGTTGCGAACCAGTAGTAAAGATAAGTACAACCCACCCTTGGTTCACACCCAGTGGTGGGATTCAAATAATTTAACAACTGGTTCTCTCCCCTAATGACCAGCTGAGTAGGTGTGGCTCGGTGGTCATGTGACCGTGTGGGCGTGGCCAACTCAACGTCACTCACATCGATGGGCGCTTCGCCTTAGCTGTTACAATGTAATCAGGGTTAACCAGAGAGGAAGTTTCTGTAAGCATGGCAATAAAGTTTAGGCTAGAAACAACACCAGAATGTTTCCTTCCTGCCTTCCCTACAGGATTAGCCCTGTAAAGTGGAAAAAAACAAAATAAGATTTCTTCCAACAAATGGTTCTCTGAACTGCTTAGAAAGTTAACAACCGGTTCTCCCGAACAGGTGCGAACTGGCTGAATCCCACCGCTGTTCACACCCCATATTTTGAAAAACTGGTCTGGACCAATTTAACCAAATCAGTTTATAACAACATACAAATCCTTTTCTGATGATGTGATTAGCCATATTTTACAAAGCAAATTCACAAACCAGATTTTGACCTGAAAGGATTAAAGGCTTTTAAATATTATTTAGATATGTGCGATTTTTGTAAAATAATGTGCAGAAAAGAAAAGACTGCATAGGCACAAGTCTTCTTATGCTTTTTTTTTTCCTTCAGAAGAAAAACACTCAACTTGAAAAGAGCAAGTCAAAAATATTGGACTTGTCCATCAGTTTGTTTTATGACTAATATCCTTTGACTACGGAGGGAATTTAAGTGCTACATTAATTGAGGTACAGAGAAGGAAGCCTACTAAATCAAATAATAATATGACAACTTAATAAAGTAGAGACCATGAGAATGAAAGGCAAATGATGGGAATAATAGAAAATGGAATAAGTGAAGATGAGAAAGGGAGAGAAAATAAGAGTAATGCTTTTATATGAATGACAAGGCACAAAATACAGACAATAGAATTTAAGTAAAGGACTGATGAAACCATCTGAAGCATCTGTGACATATTACTACAAAAGCGTCAAGCTAAAAATAATGCTCTCAAATTAAAGAGATAACAAGTTGTCTCTTAAAAATGATTTAATAAACAGCAAGCAAGACAAAAAGTCAACTTCAGAGGAAATTCTTTGTCCAAAATTTATGGGGAGAGGAGGGGGGAAACTAGTGTTGAGAAACTGAAATGAATTGGCTTTGTATTTTATTGGTTGACTTGTCTTCCAATGTCCTTCTTAGCATGAGTGTTTGTGTGTCTGTGCCTTCCCTCTTGAGTCCCATCAGCTGCTTGGACAAGTCTCTGCCATTTTCTTGGCAAGATTTTCAGAAGTGGCTTGCCTTTGCCTCCTTCCTAGGGTTGAATGTCACCCATATCCTGTTCTTTCAATAAAGCATTCAGATCTACACACATTCCTTTTATTGGAGGATAGGTGGGTTTAGCTGCATGTCAAGCTGCACACAAACTAACGTAGTGAGGACAGAACTGTGTGTGTGTGTGTGTGTGTGTGTGTGTGTGTGTGAATAAAGAGAGCCAACATATTCAAGACTGTGCCCATGGTTCTCTCCCTTCATGATTCCCACTTTAAATAGGAAAGTGGTTCATAGTCACTTACTCAAATTCAAGGTGCATTAAACTTTCAATATTAGACTCTCCAGTAGCAGGTCCAAAACCTGAGCACCAGGTGAGCTCCCGTTACTTGCAGACAAATAGGTACCATTTTGGTACGTGTTCTATGCATCTCATTGTATAGTTATACTGGCCATATGGCCACAGAAGAATCTTTGGACAATGCAGGCTCCTTTGGCTAGGAAAACGGAAATGAGCACCACCCCTAGAGATGGACATGACTGAACAAGGGAAACCATTTACCTAAGACTTCTTCAAACTTAATATAATTATTGATACCAGAAACCTCCCTAATTCATTCTCCCTTCCACAAAAAAATGTGAAAAATTTGACTCCACATACCTCTTAAAAGCACAAATGAAATGCTAGAAAGTTATATCTGGATCGCAGATCAATGTTTGCTCAGCCTAATTTAGCCCATGTCAGTGCAAGAATTCAAATGAAGCAGTCACACAAAATGGTTGCATAACCTCTGTTGGAATATATCCATTGATAGGGAGTCTGCTATATTAGATCTACTATCAAACTGGTGTTATTTTTAGGATTTTTCAAAATTCTGTTGGAATCTGTCTTCCTATAACTTAATACCACTATATGATGTCCCTTCAAATAATTAAGATGTGTTTTCCCTTCAGTCATGTTCACTATCTGAGTTATCAATACAGTAATAAAGGTGGGATAAAAATGAAAGAAATGAAATAAATAAAAAAGGAGGGTGAAGAAAGGCAAAACAAGCAGACCCATGCAAGATGGAGTTTGAATCTCAGGGAAAAAGTTGTTTGGAAGGAAGGTAATTTGCCTTGAGCAATTAAAACTAACATCAAACAACCCCGCCCACAAATGAAAAATGTTACAGGAATAAAAAAGGATTAAAGGGGAGAATGAAAAAGCTGGAGAACTACACACAGACAGAAGACAGAGACTACCTGGGACTATATTTTAGACCTCTAGACTAAACTAGATAGACAGCAAGAATAACAAGATTTGAGGAACAACATTCTCCCTGAGATTCAGATAGCCCTGACCCTAATGGCCTCCTATATGGTTTTGAAAACCTAGTTATTCTCCTGGGCAGAGGAATAAGCACATCCAGAAATATCAGATTTTGAAGGAAGACACTATGTTAAATTTCAGCTAGCCTTAAGTAAGAAAGACAATTTGATGTAGTGGTTAAAGCAGGAGTCCCCAAGCCTAGGTCCATGGCCCAGTACTGGGCTGCGGCCTATTGGGAACTAGCTCACACAAGCGGGGGGAAAGTGTACGAATGCAAAAAGCTGCATTTGAGCAAGCAGCACGCACACACAAAACCATCTCCTCTCCTTCCCTACCTCTGTCATTGCCAAACAGATTGGGGACCATTGGGTTAAAGGGTCACATTAGAATCTGGGAGCCTGGCTTTTAGTCCTGCCTTAGGTATCCAGTTCACTGAATGACCTTGGGCCAGTCTCTCTCTCTCTCTCTCTCTCTCTCTCCCTCCCTCCCTCCCTCCCTCCCTCTCCCTGTCCATCCCCCTCTCTCCTTCTCTCTCTCCTCTCTCTCCCTCCCACTCTCTCCCTCTCTTCTTCTCTCTCTCTCTCCCTCTCCCTCCCTCCCTCTCTCTCTTTGAATCAGCGTTGCCTCAAAAGGCCTTTAAAATAGCCTCAATTACATTGTTTTTTCCATGACCAACTTAACTTCTTTGCTTGGGGGGTGGGGGAGAATCAGTATCTACATTTATGGCTGACAGAAAACTCCTAATAGACTTTTTGCATAAAATAGAAAAAAATACACTTAGGATTTGTTCTTTTGATAGAAGGCAATTTGGATGACATTTTGATAGCTGTAATCTGAGTTCTGTCGGGTTGCAGGCAAATTTTGGATGGACTGTTTTTTCAGTTTTTCACTATGCAATCAGGAGCCTCTCAAACTTCCTCCTAATTAATTAAATCTCCAGGGAAAACTTCTGAGAAAATACTTCCCATGGGAAATTTTTCACATCAAGACATCTAAATCAGGACTATCCAGTACATGGCATAGCTCTCATCTTCCTCAGTGCATGTAAAATCCATAACCACATCAAGGTAATTTTTTATTATTATTATTATTATTAATAATAATAATAATAATAATAATAATAATAATAATAATAATAATAATAATAATAATAATATTTCTATGCCGCCCACTCTCCGAGGACTCTGGGCAGCTTACACCAAAGACAGTATACTAAATAGCATATTGCCCCCAACAATTTGGGTCTTCATTTTACCCACCTCGGAAGGATGGAAGGCTGAGTCAACCTTGAGCCGGTGAGATTTGATCCGCTGATCTGCTGAACTAGCAGTCAGCTGAAGTAGCTGCAGTACTGCACTCTAACCACTGCGCCACCTCGGCTCTTCCCAATGCCTCAATGAGGGATGGTGATGATGATGACAATTAAACATATGTGTCTCTATATTTTGGGGGGAAAGGTGGGAAAGAAATACTAATAGATACATGAGTAAAATGAGTAAATTAAAGCTTTAATGTACCATTCACGAAATTTAGTATAAATGGAATTATCCAGATTATAGTGTATGAGGAGAGAGGAGGAGAGAGAGGGAGGGAGGAAGAGAGGGAAAGAGAGACAGAGGAGAGAGGGAGGGAGGGAGGGAGGGGGAGAGAGAGAGAGAGAGAGAGAGAGAGAGAGAGAGAGAGAGAGACCATGGATTGGATGAAGTCTGCCATGAGAGATATGCCTTCTGGGCCTCACACTTCCTTATCAAAACAATTTCAATGTAGTGACGAAAAACCTCCTGATCTGAAAACAGATCATTAACTAATGCCAATGCCAGGTCTTAGTTACATCAATGAGGGTTGTGGGGGTTTTTTTGTCATACCATTGTTGTGATTCTCCACGAAGAAGCAAAGAAGGGAAGTGATTTCCTAAAAGTCTGAACTGGAAGTCCTAATACTGGAGGTGATAGAAGAGCTGGTTGGAATAGGTATAGAAAGTGTGGCGGGCTAAAAAAAAAATCAAATTATCTTTAGGTGGCAGCAAGATTACCCTCAAAACTGCCCTATGGTGGTTTTCTGAATAGTTGCATCCCACAACAGCCACTGTTGTGAAACACCTTTGGGAATTGCTTTACTTCAGATTTTGCTAAAGCATATCTCAAAGACTGAATCATGCTTACCAGGCATAGATATTTTTAGAAAGCAGGAAAAAATGTCCTTTCCCCCTTCCAGAATTTTAAAAGAACTTTTGACCCTCTAATACCTCTATTCACTAATCATGGGAAGTCTGTGGA